TGTTTCTTTGTTAGTTGGACCATAATCTAACTGATTGTATATATCATTCTTATACTACATTTTTCAAATCAATTAGAGTTCCTCAAGACAAAATATTTTTACAAACATCAAGAGGGATATCAGAAGGACATCAGACGTGCATTTGAAGTACTGCATGCTTGATTTAAAATCATTCGCGAACTTGCTCGCATGTGGGATATAGGCAATTTGGATATCATCATGAGGTCATCTATCATAGAGCATAATATGATTGTTGAGGATGAACGAGATGTGTATGTTCAAAATTGGGTAGATTATGACAAGTCTAAAGCATAAGCATGACCACGGTTATAGTTAATGTGGTTACAATTTATTACTTAAATTTTTAAAATTAAAATTTTGATCAATAATTGTAAACAGAAAAGAAACTAAAAATTTAAATCAAAAATAGTGGGGTAGGGTGTTGACTAATTTAAAACAAACTATTGTACATATTCTAATATATAAAATTAAGTGAGTAACCATTTATCTATGCAAAGTTACCAAAGAAGACAATATGGAGAAGAAAAAAAACTACGGTGATGACTTGGCAAAATTATACTCCCTCTGCAAAGAGTGTTACTTTGACACATTTCACACAAATTAAGAAAACATTGAATTATAAGATTTAATAGTTTAATTAGTGTTTAATTTGGGGTAATTGAATGATGTTTGATTGATTTGGTAATAACATTTGGTTTAATTAGTTATAGATTATGACGGCTTCCGTTAACTTCAAATCCAGAGACGAGCCTAACCCATTTGACATAAGTAGGCTGAAGAGAGAGAAGAAGGAAATATTGAATAACCTTGGTCGTATTAACAAGGTCTCTGCATAAAATATATTTTGTTTTGATCAAAGATTCAAAGTGGACTATTTATACTCTATCTACCAAGTGTATCAATATTTTTGAAGAAAATAAGAATGATGGTTTGATGTGGGAGCTTGCGGATGCTTATGATAGACTCAACTCTAGTTAGTTTGTAAATGCTAAAAGAGTTTTTGTAGTCGTAAATAAGTAGTATAAAATATTTGCAACCAAAGTTTTTGTACGAAATTTGGTAAGATTTTTTTTTTTTAGTGTACCAAGCACCATATCTCATTTGTCACCCTATTGCCAACTGATTCGTGAGAAGATAGTGAACTGTTTTGAAAAACTAGAAAGGTTTTTTTTAAAGACTTTATGGTTTAAGGTATAGACTCTATCAAACCAAAAATTATTTGGTGAAATAGGTTTTGATATGTTTTAATATAATTAAACCCAAGTATGTATCAATAACCAAATGTTCAACTAGAAATGAACAATGTATAATATAATGATTAATAAAAATATAGTAATATGCAACTTAAAATGTGTAAGGAAATATAATCATAACTTATTATATAAAAATAAATAAATGATTTTCTATGATTAATACATAAAATAACAACATAGAATGAGAACAAAAAAAAAATGAGTGAGTGAGACAAGGAGGAAAAAATAGAGCAAATAAATATTTAAGCAAAACTATTACTCCCTCTGTTTCATTATAAGTGATGTTTTAGCCAATTTTTCTTGTTTCAGTATAAGTGAAGTTTTCAATTTCCTATGCAAAAATTTAATGTATTTAATATTTTTTGACCAATTATATTTTACATCATATTTTCTTATTGGTTGAATTCATATTAGTTAATGATGTTTTTATGGGAAATGGATAAGTTATATGTTTTATTATTTAGTGTGCCGAAACCTTAAACATCACTTATAATGAAACAGAGGGAGTATATATATTAGATCATTCCCCCAAAACATCTCAACGACACGATTTTCCAAATTAGTTACCATCTAATGACACAACCAAGAGACATGTGTTTCTAGTTTACAACTAAAACCACCAAAGTGCAAAATTGTCAGCTAGAAAAACATCAAAACTGTAAAAATATCATAGAAAGTACACTTTCACATGAAAGTGGGTCTCTTTGCAAATAGTCTCACCAAAAGTATGTTTCCTTGTCAATTACTCCCCAAAAAGCAACAAATAATATAACATAGTAAGACTACATATACCACTGCAATGGTATACTAATTCTTTTGTAATAAATTGTGACAAATGGTAACTTTAGCACCTCTATATTAATTTTGAAAATTTTGGATCTCCCATGGTAAGCACCTTCCATGGGTGCTTAAAAAAAAATATTAATTCAATATTATATAAGATGTTAGTTACATACAGAAAAATATGCGTAAGAGTGAATGTTGGTAATATATATGTCATCTCATCTGATCGGGACATACAACATATCCAAAAGTGGTTTATATCATCCTGAATATATTATGGGTTCATCTCATCATCAATATATTAAAACATACTCATAAACTGGTTCTCTAACTGACTAGAACTCTAATTCAGTACACGCAAGAACAGTTACATAAACTTGATTTATTTTAAATATTGATGAAGAGAAAGCTTGGTTCATTACACACATAAGAAACCAACAAAGAAAAGTAAAATTACTAGCCGATTGGTAAAAACTGGTTCATAACACACAAAAGAAACCAATGAAGAGAAATACAAATTACAAGCCTAAGAGAAAACTAGCATATAACAAACAAAAGAAACCAATAAAGAGAACTACAAATTACAAGCCTAAGAGAAAACTAGTTCATAACAAACAAAAGAAACTAGCTATATGAAAAGAGCATGGATGTTGATAAAGGATAGAAATAAAAGAGTATTCTCACTAAGACTATAAGACTACTCATGCATCTCCCAACATTTCAGTGAAAAGCTTATCCTTTGAGGCCATTTTCTTTTCAGAAAGTTAAGTAGTCTTGGCAAGAAGACTCTCCAAAAGTCTCTACTTTTCAAACATCTATACCATGGCCAAATCCTTTTGTTTGATGTCCCACATGCTTTGGAACTCCTTGAGAGCATAGCCTTCTTCAATTGTGGTTGGTTTGCTAACTAACTGTTTGGATTTGGCTTTTGCAGCCTTCACCCAAGGTGGCAACCTTCGTCCTCTTCAAGCCTCACTTGCATAGAGCTTGATGTAGACGGCTCATCACCCTTCTTTCTTCTCTTTGATGTTGCTTGATCTTTTCTAGAAAAACATCCAAGCCATTTTTGATCAAACCTAAGCTCCATTCAATCATTCAAGATTGAACCTCACATTGTGATCATTGAATAGGATTTTATAAGCCAACTTCATGATCTCATCTTTATTCTGCCCACTGGAGTTGGCCTTTGTTCTGCCTCATAGCTGCTTAGACTATCTCCAATGTATTTTGCTATTTTTCCCTCTATAATAGATGAGTTCTATAATAGAAGTGACTTTTACTACAATGTATTTCTCTTTTTTTCCTATATAATAGTATATTCCAAATAGATTCTTTTTAAAATTTTAATATTAACACCATATATTTATAAAAGTGGGAAATTAGCCCACTTACTTTAAATTTTATAAAATTTTAATAAAATAATTACTTTTATTTAAATTAAAAATTTATTATAAAACATCATATTATATAATAATCATCATATATAATTTATATAATTTTTTTTTTTTGCTAAGGAATTTTTAAATATATTTTGTTTTTTTTGTTTTTGTCGTTTTGGCTATTTTAAAAATATTTTAATTTAAATGAATGTTTTTATTTCTAATGATGCAGTTTAATCAAGCCAAACTAATTTTTAGAGAAGATACAACTTTTAAAGGAGGTTTTGAGCATGTTTGGAATATTTTTAAGAACTTTGAAAACTTTAAAGATGGTGTTTCCCGTTATAAACGTTTATATATTCCATTTGGTTATGAGTATACATTTTTGGAATCAGAAAATCTTCAAATGTTCGAAATTTCTTTTCTGTCGATTTAATTAGATATGCCCTGTTTATGTTCTACCATTCACTTCAATCAATCTTCAAAGGTTCAAAATTTTTTTTCTGTCAATTTAATTAAAAAGTATAGTTTATGTTTATAGTTTTAATACTTCAATTTAATTGTCTATATGATGAAGATATGTCATGTTGATGGTGTGTGATGTTTGAATCCCTCTAAATATGACTGGAAAATTCAAGTGAAAGTGTTATGTTTGCGGCTAGATCATTATCGTGAACTTGTACCAAGCTTGGAGATGGTGTTAACTGATATTCATGTATGTTAGTTTTTCCTATTCTAGTTGAATTTGTTTATAGATGATACTAATATATTCAAGATCATTAAGAATCCAAATTATCATTTTGCTTAACCAATATATTTACTTTTATAGGGTGAAAAGGTGCAGTGTTCCTTCCGTGGTATTCTTTATGATTCGAGAGGAGAGGGGAATTCGAGATGCTTTATTCATTTACTTAGAGTTCTTTATATAAGGATTGATACAAGGGGTGATAAGTAAACCCTAGTACAATAAGGAAAAGATTAAGCCTCCTTATAGAACGAATCATGCTTGATATGGGCCGGTCCGGATTGGGCTTGTTATGATAATCCACCATATGATTTATAACACTCCCCCTTGGATGTCATAACCGTTATGAGCTTGTAATATGCTTTGGGATGTTGCCTCATTAAAACCTGATGCAGGATGCTTCTAGAAGACTTGCTGTTTATTTCTATTTTCATTTGTTTTTCCTTTCTTCTCACGTTTCAAGGTTTTAATAATCTTTTTAATTATTTTTAAAAGCTCTAGATATATCCATGGTCTTCAATACTTATCGATTTCTGTAAGGATTAGGCTTTGGTGTTTTCTATATAAGTTGATCGATCTCTAGCTTTGTAAGATACGAAATATTGATTTATAAAACTAAGAGCTTTCATCTCTTAACTTCCCTTATTACGGCTAGAACGTGACGTTCTCAACGGAGTAAGAAGACATTGAAACTTGGGCATTCTCAGACTAAACAAGCTTCTCTGTATTAGCATATCTTGAACGACATTAGTTGGTATCAGATTCCAGCGCTTTGATTTCTCAATTAAGGCACGGTCTTTCTCTCTCATCCAAACCGAGATGGCTCCTCGAACGAGATCCGATGAACAACAAGAAGAACTGTGCCAAACTTTGGAAAATTTCACTGCTGGTCTCTATGATGCGTTACAACACGCTATCGAAAACGCATTAACAACGGTGTTACAAGCTCAGCAAGCCCAACGCCGTGAACAGCAAAGAGACTATGACCATGAATCCGATGAAGACATCCATGAGAATTTGTTTGCTGTTCCCATTCAACAATGACGTGAACACCAGTTACTTCCACACAATCCTCTAGCCAACAACAACAACACTCAATGGTGGGAAACAGGGTTCAAGTTAGATATTCCAGAATTTGCAAGTGGTCTAAAAGCAGAAGAGTTTCTCGATTGGCTGCATATGGTGGAAGAAGTTTTGGAATTTAAGAACGTTCCTCATGATGTTCGTGTATCATTGGTGGCCACACGATTCAAGGGTCGCGCTATGGCTTGGTGGTCTCAATTTAAAGAGTCTCGACGACGTTCGGGGAAATCTAAAATTGAGTCATGGGAGAAATTTAAAAAACACATGCGTCGAAGTTTCCTTCCATACAACTATGAGCGAACCTTGTATACTAAATTTCAGAATTTGCGTCAAGGTACCCGGACGGTGGATGAGTACGCAACAGATTTCTTTGAGATGATGGCACGAGCAACACTTTCAGAAACAGAGGATCAGCTTGTGTCTCGTTTCATTGGTGGTCTTCGGTCTCAACTACATATTCCTCTTCAGCAATTTAACCCGCTCTTAGTTTCTAAGGCACATCAGCGAGCTCTTGGCATGTAGCTTCAATACAAATCCAGTTGGAATCCGTCAACGTCTCGTACTCGTTTCCAACCTCAGGTATCGATTGACAGTGCCAATCCTCAAGCTTCTAACACAACAGTTTCACAACCTCCCTTTGCAAAACCAGGCGTGCCAGCAGATTCTATAGCACCTTCACGACAGCCTCGTACCGGTGCTCTTGGTTGTTTTAGCTGTGGCGAATCCGGGCATCGACAAACGGCTTGTCTGAATCAGGGTCGTCGTAGTTTGCTTGCACAAGACACTAATTTTTCGGACGAACCTCGTTATGATGATTATCTTTCAGACTCCAACCACGACCAAGATGACGCTTGTATTGCAGGCGACACTGGCCCTCCAACCCAGTTATTAGTAATTAGGCGTAATTGCCTAGCACCACGGTCACTACAGGAGTCTTGGCTCCGTACATCTCTGTTTCGTACAACTTGCACAATTAATGGTAAAATTTGCAAACTTGTCATTGATTCCGGAAGTTGTACCAATGCAATTGCAGAAGAAGCTACGCGCAAACTCGGGATTCAACCTTTTCCTCATCCAGCTCCTTATCAACTCGCATGGCTTAATAATGGTTCTGACATTTGGGTCTCCAAGCAAGCGTTGGTTTTTTTCTCTGTTGGTGTTTATAAAGATTCTTTGACTTGTGATGTTGTCCCTATGGACGCATGTCACCTTCTGTTGGGAAGTCCGTGGGAATACGATCGTGATGCTACACATCGCGGTAAGAGTAATACTTATAGTTTTGTGTTTGATGACAGGACAATTACCTTACTTCCATCTAAGGAAACCACAGACCCTAGTCTGCCCTCTCAACTGCCCGGCACGAATAAAATTTCTACTCCGTCTAAAGCCTTATTGACTCTTCCCAAGGCTGCTTTTGAGAAGCATGTAGGTGAAACTGATTGTATTTGGGCATTAGTTTCAGCTCCGGTTTTCCACTCTAGTTCTGGCCCGTTACCAACCGCTTTTGAGGACTTGTTGAGTACGTTTCAAGATGTTATTCCAAAGGATTTACCCACAGGTTTACCACCTTTACGGGACATTCAACACCATATTGATCTCGTCCCTAATGCAGTCCTTCCTAATCGCCCACACTATCGAATGAGTCCTCACGAGCATGAAGAACTACGACGTCAAGTGGAAGAACTCATTTGCAAAGGTCATATTAGAGAAAGTATGAGTCCTACCGCTGTCCCGGAGTTGCTTATTCCAAAGAAAGACAGCTCTTGGCGGATGTGTGTGGATAGTCGCGCTATCAATAAAATCACAGTCCGTTATCGTTTTCCTATTCCTCGTTTAGATGATTTATTGGATCAAATTTGGTAGTGCTTCAATTTTTTCCAAGCTGGATTTAAAAAGTGGATATCACCAAATTCGTATCCGGCCCAGTGATGAGTGGAAAACGGCATTTAAAACGCGTGAAGGCTTGTTTGAATGGATGGTTATGCCTTTTGGGTTGTCTAACGCTCCGAGTACGTTTATGCGAGTTATGAATCAAGCACTCCGGCCTTTCATCGGTTAATTTGTCGTTGTATATTTTGATGATATTTTGGTTTTTAGTACGGATTTGGTCAGCCATTTGGAGCATTTATAGGCTGTGCTTCTAGTCTTACGGCGAGAGCAGCTATTTGCCGCACAACATAAGTGTGTTTTTGGCGATCCTGAGGTCCTTTACCTTGGGTATGTGGTGTCTTGTCGGGGTTTGGAGGTGGATTCAAGTAAGATTGAGGCCATTAAGTCTTGGCCCACTCCACGTTCTATAAGTGATGTTAGGAGTTTTCATGGTTTATCATCATTTTATCGTCGCTTCGTTCATCATTTTAGCGGCATAACTGCTCCTTTAACCGACTGTCTTAAAGGATCCTCTTTGTGTGGACGGCTGAAGCTAATGAGGCATTTGAGACTATCAAAGCCAAGCTAGTGTCTGCTCAAATCTTGGCTCTCCCTGATTTTACTGTGGTGTTTGAGTTGCATTGTGATGCTTGTAAACTTGGCATTGGAGCTGTTCTTAGTCAACGGGGAAGACCGGTGGCGTTTTATAGTGAGAAAATTGCCGGCTCTCGCGGACGTTATAGCACTTATGATGTTGAGTTATATGTGATTGTTCAGGCAATTAAGCATTGGCGCCATTATCTTTTCCATCAAGAGTTTATTCTTTATACCGATCACGATGCTTTTAAACATTTGGGCAGTCAAGAGAAGATTTCAGCCCGACATGCGTCTTGGATAGCCTATTTACAACAGTTCACTTTTGTGATTAAGCATCAATCTGGTCGTTCTAACAAAGTGGCCGACGCTTTGAGCCGACGTCATTCCCTTCTTGCAACGTTAAGCGTTTTTGTTCCCGGATTTTCAGTTTAACGGATCTTATGAACATGATTCTTTCTTTGGTCAAGTGTTGAGTGATCTGAAGGCAGGTCTTCGTTCGGAGTATGTTCTTCATAACGGTTTTGTGTTTCTTCATAACCGGTTGTGTGTCCCAGATTGTAGTTTGCGCCTCCAACTCATCACAGAATTGCATAGTGAAGGCCACATCGGTCGTGATCGTACCCTTCAGTTGGTTGCGGAGTCATATTTTTGGCCGTCTCTTCTTCGTGATGTAGCTCGTCATGTGGAACGTTGTGTGGTTTGTCAAAAGTCTAAGGGACACGCTTCTAACAGTGGGTTGTATATGCCTCTTCCAATTCGAGCGCAGCCATGGACGGACATAAGCATGGACTTTGTTTTGGGTTTGCCTCGAACCCAACGCGGCAATGATTCTATATTTGTTGTGGTTGATCGCTTTTCCAAGATGGTGCATTTCATTCCGTGTAGGAAGACGACCGATGCGGTTTCAGTGGCTTTGTTGTTCTTCCGTGAGATATATCGTCTTCATGGTCTTCCGTTATCTATTGTTTTTGATCGGGATTCTCGATTTTTCTCAGCCATTTTTGGCGGTTGCTTCGTACAAGCTTGGATATGAGCTCTGCATATCATCCTCAGTCCGACGGACAAACTGAGGTCACTAACCGTTCCTTGGGTGATATGTTGCGATGTTTGGTGGGTGACAATATTAAGGCGTGGGATAAGGTGTTGTATTAAGCTGAGTTTGCACACAACCATGCCGTCAACCGCAGTACCAAATTCAGTCCGTTTCACATTATTTATGGGTTGATACCACGAGGTCATGTTGATCTTGGTGTTGTTCCTGATGAAACCCGTGAACACGGACACGCTTTGGACTTTGTTGCAACTCTTTCTTTCCTACATTCGCAGGTCCATGATAACCTCCAAGTTGCTTCAGCTAAATACAAGGCAGATGCAGATCGTCATCGTCGTCATGTTACTTTTAGTTCAGGTGATTTGGTATGGGCTGTTTTGACTAAGGATCGTTTCTCCCCCGGAACATACAACAAGCTCAAAGCACGAAAGATTGGTCTATTGAAGGTTTTGGAGAGGATAAATGCCAACGCATGCCGTGTTCAGCTTCCTACAGATGTGTGTTGTTCCGATGTCTTCAATGTGAAACATTTGGTTCCATTTGTGGCACACGATGAGCACGAAGATTCAGGGACAAATCTTTTTCTACCCCGGGTGACCTGATGCAGGGTGCTTCTAAAAGACTTGGTGTTTATTTCTATTTTCATTTGTTTTTCCTTTCTTCTCACGTTTCAAGGTTTTAATAATCTTTTTAATTATTTTTGAAAGCTCTAGATATATCCATGGTCTTCGATACTTATCGATTTCTATAAGGATTAGGCTTTGGTGTTTTCTATATAAGTTGATCGATCTCTAGCTTTGTAAGATACGAAATATTGATTTATAAAACTAAGAGCTTTCATCTCTTAACTTCCCTTATTACGGCTAGAACGTGACGTTCTCAACGGAGTAAGAAGACATTGAAACTTGGGCATTCTCTGACCAAACAAGCTTCTCTGTATTAGCATATCTTGAACGACATTAAAACCTTACCAAAAAAACCCATTGGGATAAAACCGTGGTGAAGGAAAAAGAGTACAACACGTACTACTCCCCTTGATTTGAAGCTCACTGAAGATCTTTCAATCGGCGCATTCCAATTTGATGTGTAAGTTTCTTGAACGTAGAGGTTGGAAGCGACTTGGTGAATAGATCCCCCGAATTGTCACATGATTGAACTTGTTCCACTTGGACCTCTCTGGCTTTCTGTAATTCATGAGTGAAAAAGAACTTTGGCAAGATATGTTTCGTCCTATCTCCTTTGATATATCCATCTCTAAGCTGAGCTATGCAGGCAGCATTATCTTCATACATTATTGCTGGTGCTGCCTTCCCTTCGGTCATCCCACAATCGATCCTAATATGTTGAGTCATGGATCTCAACCAAAAACATTCACGGCTGGCCTCATGCATAGCCAAAATTTCAGCATGGTTGGACGATGTGGCTGCGATTGTTTGCTTTTGAGATCGCCAAGATATTGCCGTACCACCGTATGTAAAAATATTACCAGTTTGTGATCGACCATTGTGTGGATCCGAGAGATAACCTGCATCAGCAAAACCAACTAATCCCTCTTTGGGTTGGTTAGTATAATATAGACCCAAATATTTCGTTTCTTGTAGGTAACGAAGAATATGTTTAATCCTGTTCCAGTGCCTTTGGGTCGGACATGAGCTAACTCTTGATAATAAATTCACGGAAAAACAGATATCTGGCCTAGTGTGGCTCGCCAGATACATTAAAGCTCCTATGGCACTGAGGTATGGCATTTACGGACTGAATGGATCACTATCCAATCTGAGGCTTCTCACCACCATTGAGCTTGGTCAATGGGCGGGTCTGGTCCTTAATCTCCTTGAGTACTCTTTCAGTATATGCCATTTTATGCACAAAGATTACATTTTTCACGTACTCATGTTGTAATCCCAAACAGAACTTAATTATTATTGCCTAGGTCTTTCATTTCAAATTTTTTCTTTAGATATATTCAACTATTTTGTCGATTAAGCAGAGGTTTAAATCATTCATATACACTTCTTATGATTACAAATCCTTTGTTTACAAACTTCTTTATAAAAATACATGGACTGATGGGATCATTTATAACCTTACATATGCCCACTTATTCTAAGTCCATGAAAGGATTTGTACAGCCTTATGCAGTGCTGTTCTCGAAAACCTTTCTTATCTTTGAGCTCAATACCCTCTGCTAATCTCATATTTTATCCAGTGGACTTATATAAACATGCAGGCATTACATCCATTAGCCGCAAATCAAGTCTTTCTCTTTTATATAGCCAGACTTAGCAAAAATTTAAATGCTAAAAAAAATAAATGCATTAACATCCACCACAAGGGAGTATATCTCCTCATAATCTATTCATGGTCTCTGTGAGAATCAATGTGCAACAAGCCGTGCTTTATATCTCACGATTTCTCCATATTTATTTTTTTTCCTCACAAAGACCCATTTATGTCTAACTGGCTTTAGATCGAGAGGTGTCCTTATTATTGGACCAAATACATTCCTCTTCTTTAATGAATTTAACTCCACGCTTATAGCTTCTTTCCATTTATTCCAATCTGATTGTTGGGTGCATTATGAGTCTCAATCAATGAATTTTATTCATGTACTCTTTAGTCAGTGTATTGCGTTGAGTGATCTTATTATTGGTATCATGTAAGAATATGGCTCATATTGGTCACTTTTCATAATCGCAAGCGACTGTGAGTGCGATTTTAAAATGACATGATGTTGTTCGTTTCGTAGTCACACGACTGAACGCTGCGACTAGCGCAAAAGTGTTCGTTTTTCTATTGTGCGATTGACCGCTGCGAGTGGTTGCAAGGTTGTTCGTTTTGTTATTGGTAAGACTGAAATTTTTAAAATTTTTAAACCACTTACTATTTTGAATAGATATTGAAAAATATAAAGTAAATCTCCAGTAAAATAAAGTCAATAAATCAAAAATGAAATAAAGTTACAAAATTAAATTATTTCAAGCAAAATAAAAATTACAAAATTAAATTAATAACTAATAAGGTAGTTGGAGTCCTCTACTAATCTCACGTGTAATGCGGTCACGTATACCTTCCATAACTCTATCACTGGTCGGCTTATATAAAACATGTTCACCAGCACTACCACTATCACCATCCTCATATCATTATCACCGACACCATCACTACTACTAGCACCACCACCACCACCATCATTATCATCATTACGACAATATGATATTTTTCAGTTCTCTACCAATGCACAAAATTATAATTATCTCGACGTAATCCGTGTATGAAGTTGTGTAGTGTCATATTTTGGATGCTTTCGATCTAGAAATTCTCCATTTTGCTTTCCATACTCCAAATGTCTGCTCAATCATTATCATCAAACCTGAATATCTCCGGTTAAACAATTATCAGGTGGTGGTAGGTGGTCTTTATCTAAAAAATTGATCTAGATGATATTGAATTCTACGATGAGGACCAAGATATCTTGTCCTAGTAGGATATTCAGACTAAGTAATACTTTCCATTTGGCGGATGTGGAAAAGATCTTTGCATATGAGTTAATAATTTTGTATCGTGTGCTCTTCCTGGTACACCAACATACTCATATATGAACTTCATGTCAAAGTTAACATATAGTTAGGAAAATCATTGTAGGTTCCAATTTTCTTCTTCTATATATAAGCTCATGCATTTGTAGTGGGAGAACGAACTGGGATATGGGATCTTTATAAAAATGCCAATATCGATCATCATTCCTTAAAACCAGGCATACTCTTGCGAACTCATCTTCTCGTGGTTTTAGTGTATCTGCTGCAAACCTAAGGAGAACACTCAAAATTTTATCAATCTTCCTTTTTACTATGTCTAGTGATCGCTGTTAACTTTGAGCAATAACCCGTATTGTCTTATCTTGACCAACCAACTCCAGAAACATTGCAACACCTTCCTCAACATAAAACACTGTGAGTCTACTGTAATCCATATCGTGTAGTTAACATTCCACAAAAATCTTCAAAAGTTCTTTGATTCATCCTTATAATATCATAACATTACTGATCCGATTCATACATAAGTTTTTGAACATGGCGGTGGCGCCATCATGCACCTCAATCGATTCAATGAATCACTCTCTCAACATTAACCATGTCAAACAAATCATCATCATCATCCATAAACCAATTAAGAATATGGAATAATAAACATAAACTGATTTTTATAAACCAAAATCAAACCTCTATAAACAAAGAGTACAACTTATATAAAGATTTAAAATTCTAAATATTAAGACATATCATAAATCTTTGTTTCAGGCCTAACTAATTTAATCTTCTTCACTTGAAAACGCTACAAAGTTTTGTCGATTTGCTTCATTTGCTAAAAGATGATCAACTATTGCAATGTGAAATGGTGACCACTTCTTCACTCGGGGGAAACCATTAAGAACCTCAAGAACATGTTCCACACTATATTTGTTCTAACTGTTTTTGTTCCAACATCTGTTTTGCTAGTGTAGTTTTGTCTGAAATAATTGCATTACATGCAGCATGAGCTCTATAACCAGATATGCCTCCTTATGCCTTTTCTTTTGGATTTTGAACTTCCAACTATAAATTATTGTAACAACCCATCCCGTGGGAACCCCTACCACATGGCACACCCCGCCACATGGCAGCTACAAGCGCTGTAGCGCATCGACCCTAACCTCTCTCCTATGGGCCCAAACTGCGCAGCCCACTGCTTGCAGCCTCCTGGCCAACCAGGTAGGTTATTGGTGCGCCTGGCGTTCCTCGAACCCAGGTCCTCACCCTTTAACAACCTTCCCACTTGACAAGTTGTCACCAATTGACGGATGATCCCACTGGACGGGTTGTTACAATTATATACTTCCAAATCTGATTTTTGTTTCTACTTGCCCTAATGTATCCATCATATCAATTGAACCAACTTCATCCTCTTCTACACTCACTCTAGAATCCAAATTTGCTTCTCCATTTTGTGCGCTCCATCCTTCTCAACAAAATGGGATAAATTGTATGATGATCACTTTCCGTACAAACCTTAATTTAAATAAAGAAATGAATTTTTTACTTACCCATGATCGGATTAGACAATTTTAACCAATTTTGTGTTGAGCGAGAGAATCCAAACATGGGTAAGTAAAAAGAGATTCTTTTTGATTATTTTTTGGTTTACATAACTGAACAACATGCTTTGCTTTATACCGTTGGCGTTTTCAATTAGGTTATCTTTCCACTCAACCGCTTCTTTGAATCTCTTCTCTTGTTCTCTTATGATCTCAAGTTGTTATGTTTTTGTTTACATAATTGAACAATACTCTTTGATTTATACCTCTATATTTTGAAATCAACCTTAATTTGACTATTATACATTTTAATGTCATTTGTACATGTGCAGCAAATACTCTTTGCAAAAATAAATTGTTTTCTTACATCAATTAAATTGAAGATAATTTAAAACAAGGACTACCATTGTGCAACATGTGATTTGTCTATTAACAAACCAATATAATATACATGTGATCTATGATATTTTCATGAAAATTTTTCCAATTCAATAATATCTGTGTGAAGTTATCGTTGAGATATAATAT